TCTCCCTCCCTCCCTCCCCTCCCTCTCTTTCTCCTCCCTTTCCCGTCCCTCCCTTCCTCCCTCCCTCTCTCCCTTCTCCCTCCACCCTCCCTCTCTCCCTTCCTCCCTTTTTCTCCCTCCTTCCTTCACCCTACTTTTGATTCTTACTTTTAATCCTGTCCCCTCACCCTTTAATCTTCCTATACCTTTTTCCCTCCTTCCTGCCCCCCCTCTCTCTGTCTCGGTCTTTTCTCTTGTCTCAGTCTGTCTGTCTGTTCTGTTGTCTGTTGTCTGTCTGTCTCTCCTCAACTCTCTCTCTCTCTCTCTCTCTCTCTCTTCTCTCTCTCTCTTCTCCTCTCTCTCCTCTCTCTCTTCCTCTCTTCTCCTCTCCTCTCTGCCTCCTTCCCTTCTTCTTTCTCCTCGCCCTCTCTGCCTCTTCCCCTCTTCTCTCTCTCTCCCTCCTCCCTCCCTCCCTCCTCCCTCCCTCAGTCAGGGTTAAAAGCAATTTTTGTCACTAAGAGGACAGTGTAATAACCACATTTTCACCTGTCTATCAAACTGTCTATCCACTTGTCACCATACACATGTCTATCCCTGTCACCTCAGCACCTGTGCTACTCCACAGTCACCCTCCAACACCTGTCTATCCCCTGTCAACCATCAACACACCTGTCATCCACTGTCCCATCAACACCTGGTTATCCACTGTCACCATTCAGCACCTGTCTATCACTGGCACCATCGCACCTGTCTATCCGCTGTCACCATCAACACCTGTTATTCCACTGTCACCATCAGCACTGTCTATCACTGTCACATCAGCACTGTATATCCCAACAGTCACATCAACACCTGTCTATCCACTGTCACCATCAACACCTGTCTATCCACTGTCACCATCAACACCTGTCTATCCACTGTCACCATCAGCACCTGTCTATCCACTGTCACCATCAGCACCTGTCTATCCGCTGTCACCATCAACACCTGTCTATCCACTGTCACCATCAGCACCTGTCTATCCACTGTCACCTTCAGCACCTGTCTAATCCACAGTCACCATCAAACATGTCTATCCACTGTCACCATCACAACACCTGTCTATCCACTGTCACTCAACCCCCTGTTATTCCACTGTCACCATCAGCAATTCTCTATCCACTGTCCCATCAGCACCTGTCTATCCGCTCGTCACCACATACCTGTCTATCCACTGTCACCATCAACACTGTCTATCAGTCACCCTCAACACCTGTCTTCCACTGTCACCTCAAACACTGTCTTTCCACTGTCACATCAAACACCTGTCTTTCCCACTGTCACCTCAAAACCTGTCTATCACTGTTCACATCACCGTCTACCCTGTCACCAATCAACACTGTCTTTCCACTGTCACCCATCAAAACCTGTCTTTCATTGTCACCATCAACACCTGTCTATCCACTGTCACCATCAACACCTGTCTATCCACAGTCACCATCAACACCTGTCTATCCACTGTCACCATCAACACCTGTCTTTCCACTGTCACCATCAACACCTGTCTTTCCACTGTCACCATCAACACCTGTCTATCCACTGTCACCATCCAACACCTGGTCTATCCACTGTCACCATCAACACCTGTCTTTCCACTGTCACCATCAACACCTGTCTATCCACTGTCACCATCAACACCTGTCTTTCCACTGTCACCATCAAAAAAACCTGCCTTTCCACCCTTCACATCAACTCCAGTCTTCTTTCCCACTGTCCCATCATCACCTGTCTATCCACTGTCGACCTACAAACACCTGGTCTTTCCACTTTCACATCACACCTGTCTTTCCACTGTCACCATCAACACCTGCCTTTCCACTGTCACCATCAACACCTGTCTTTCCACTGTCACCATCAACACCTGTCTTTCCACTGTCACCATCAACACCTGCCTTTCCACTGTCACCATCAACACCTGTCGTTCCCAGTGTCACCATCAAACACCTGCCTTTCCCCTGTCACCATCAACACCTGTCTTGCCACTGTCACCATCAACACAGTCTTTCCACTGTCACCATCAACCTCCTGTCTATTCCACTGCACCATAACACTGTATTTCCACTGTCACATCACACCTGCCTTTCCACTGTCACCATCAACACCTGTCTTTCCACTGTCACCATTCAACACCTGTTTTTTCCACTGTCACCCTCAACACATGCCTTTCCTGTCACCATAACAACTGTCTTTCACTGTCACCATCTACACCTGCCTTTCCCACTGTCACATAACACCTGTCTTTCCACTGTCACCATACAACACCTGTCGTTCCACTGTCACCATCAACACGCCTTTCCACTGTCACCATCAACACCTGTCTTTTCCCACTGTCACCATCAACACTGTCTTTCCACTGTCACCATCAACACTGTCTTACACGTCACCATCAACACCTGTCTTTCACTGTCACCATCAACACCTGCCTTTCCACTGTCACCATCAAACTGTCTTTCCCCTGTCTCCATCAAACCTGTCTATCCACTGTCACATCAAACTCCTGTCTTTCCACTTGTCACCATCAACACCTGTCTTTCCTCACAGTCACCATCAACACCTGTCTTTTCCACTGTCCACCATCAAACCTGCCTTTCCACTGTCACCATCAACACCTAGTCTTCCACTGTCACCATCAACAACCTGTCTTTCACTGTCCCATTCAACACCTGTCTTTCCATGTCCCATCAACTCACCTGTTTTCCACTGTCACCATCAACACCTGTCTTCCACTGTCAACCATCAAAACACCTGTAGATCATTTGCGGCTTTATAGGTATTTACCAAATTCGTTAATTTACAAAACATTTTGGGAAGTACTGTATATATACATATGTCCCCTCTCCCCAATCCTTTCCCCTTCCCCCTTCCCAGTCTTCCCCTTCCCCATTCCTTCCCCCTTCCCCATTCTTTCCCCCATCCATATCTTCCCTCTTCTCATTTTCCCCTTCCCTTACCCTCCCCCTTCCACCATCATTACCCTTCACCATTCCTTCCCTTCCCATTCCTTCCCCTTCCCCAGTGTCCTTTCCTCTTCCCCTTACCAATTCCTTCCTATCTAGCGTTTACTCCCCCTTCCTCCCATTACTTCCAATCCTCCCATTTCTACCCTCCCCATTTCTTTTCCCTCTCTCCATTCCCCCTCCCTTCCTCCCATTCCTCTCCACTTTCCTAACATTCATAGGGATGTCTGATAAGGATTTAAGTAATTCAGTTTCTCCAGTGTCATGCGGGTGTGCGTGCGTGTCGTGTGTGGGTGGTGCTGGGTGTGTGTGTGTGTGTGTGTGTGTGTGTGTGTGTGTGTGTGGTTTGTGTGTGTGTGTGTGTGTTGTGTGTGTGTGTGTGTTTGTGTGTGTGTGTGTGTGTGTGTGTTGTGTCGTGTGTGAGTGTGTGTGTGTGGTGTGTGTGCGTGTGTGTGTGTGTGTGTGGGTGTGTGTGTGTTGTGTGTGTGTGTTTGTTCGTGTGTGTGTGTGTGTGTGTGGTGTTTGTGTGGGTGTGTGTGTGTGTGAGTGAGTGTGTGTTGTGTGTGTGTGTGTGTGTTTTGGGGTGCGGTGTGTTGTGTGTGTGTGTCGTGTGTGTGTGGGTGTGTGTGTGAGGTACTCACCTAATTTGTACTCACCTATTTGTGGTTGCAGGGGTCGTGTCACAGCTCCTGGCACGGGCTCTTCCCTGATTGCTACTAGGTCCTCTCTCTCCTGCCTTGTGAGCTCTTTCATTACCTCGCCTTAAAACTATGTATGGTTCCCGCCTCCACTACTTCACTTTCTAGGCTATTCCACGGCCTGACTCTATGACTGAAGAAATACTTCCTAACATCCCTTTGATTCATCTGAGTCTTCAACTTCCAATTGTGACCTCTTGTGTCTGTGTCCCTTCTCTGGAAACATCCCGTCTTTGTCCACCTTGTCTATTCCGCGCAATATTTTATATGTCGTTATCATGTCTCCCCTGACCCTCCTGTCCTCCAGTGTCGTCAGGCCGATTTCCCTCAACCTTTCTTCGTAGGACAATCCCCGTAGCTCTGGGACTAGTCTTGTTGCAAACCTTTGCACTTTCTCTAATTTCTTGACGTGCTTGACTAGGTGTGGGTTCCAAACTGGTGCTGCATACTCCAGTATGGGCCTGACGTAAATGGTATACAGAGTCTTAAACGAACCCTTACTGAGGTATCGGAACGCTATCCGTAGGTTTGCCAGGCGCCCGTATGCTGCAGCAGTTATCTGATTGATGTGCGCCTCAGGAGATATACTCGGTGTTATACTCACCCCCAGGTCTTTTTCCTTGAGTGAGGTTTGCAGTCTTTGGCCATCTAAACTATATTGTGCCTGCGGTCTTCTTTTGCCCTTCCCCAATCTTCATGACTTTGGCATTTGGCAGGGTTAAATTCAAGGAGCCAGTTACTGGACCAGGCTTGTAGCCTGTCCAGGTCTCTTTGTAGTCCTGCGTGTGTGGCGTGTGTGTGTGTGTGTGTGTGTGTGTGTGTGTTGTGTGTGTGTGCTTGTTTGTGTTTGTGTGTGTGTTTGTGTATGATGTGTTGTGTGTGTGTGTGTGTGTGGTGTGTGTGTGTGTGTGTGTGTGTGTGTGTGTGTTGTGTGTGTGTGTGCTACCTGGTAGGGTGTTCCGGGGGTCAACGCCCCCGCGGCCCAGTCCGTGATCAGGCCTCGCGGTGGATTAGGGCCTGATTAACCAGGCTGTTACTGCTGGTCGCACGCAAGCCGACGTATGAAACACAGCCCGGCTGATCAGGTACTGATTTTAGGTGCCTCTCCAGCGTCTTGAAGACAGCCAGGGGTCTATTGGTAATCTCCATTATGTGTGCTGGGAGGGAGTGAGGGGAAGGAGGAAGACTGAATGTATAAATGGTAATGGAGGGTGCATCCCTCTCTCTCTCTCTCTCTCTCTCTCTTCTCTCTCTCTCTCTCTCTCTCTCTCTCTCTCTTTTTCACTGACACACTCACACTTACTCACACTCTCACTCTGAGACTTACCTTGTTGCCGAGCTGTATGAGGTGGAGTTCCAGCAGTGGAGGTATGACTGGCCTGGACCTGTTGACCCTGGTGCTGGAGGTCTGGCACCAGCTGGCCTCCCTGGGCACTGACCTCCACGCCTCCTCACTGCTAGACACTCCTTGAAAATACACATCTATCGCGTCCTCCACCTGCAACATATATGTACTTACTAATTAAAATATATATTTATATATATATTTATATATTTAATATATATTATATATTATATATATATATTTTATATATCTATATATTATTATATATATAATATAATTGTATTTATATATATTTTTTTATATATATAAAATATATATATATATATTTATATTATATATATACATTGATGGTATATGTGAGAGGGGAGAGAGAGAAAGGGGAAGGGGGAAGAGAGGGTGAAGGGGAAGGGGGAAAGAGAGGGTGAAGGGGAAGGGGGAAGAGGGTGAAGGGGAAGGGGGAAGAGGGGGGTGAAGGGGAAGGGGGAAGAGGAGGGTGAAGGGAAGTGGGGGAAGAGGGGGTGAAGGGGAAGGGGGAAGAGGGGTGAAGGGAAGGGGGAAGAGGGGTGAAGGGGAAGGGGGAAGAGGGGGTGAAGGGGAAGGGGGAAGAGGGGGTGAATGGGGTAGGGGGAAAGAGGGTGTGACGGTGAAGGGGGAAGAGAGGGTGAAGGGGAGGGGGAAGAGGGGTGAAGGCATGGGGGAACAGCACTGACTATCTTCAAATTTAGAATGAAGAATTTTAATCAAGGTTTTCTGGGTGGTAAAAAATATACACCAAGTCCTTACTGAGTATTTTGTTTTTTTATTATGACTGAGGAATTTTGATTGCTCCACCACACCACACACACACACACACACACACACAAACACACACACACACACACCCCACACTCACACACACACACACACACACAACACAAAACCAAACACACACACACACACACACACACTCTCACACACACACACACAGCCTTCAGAAAAGGTACGATAAAACTCCTGGAGCAGGGAGAGAGTAGACCTAGTAGCGACCAGCCAAGAGGCGGGGTCCAGGAGCTGTGACTCGACCCCTGCAGCCACATACAAGTGAGTACAGGTTAGTAGAACAGTAACTCTCCCATCAGTCAATATCAGTCAATAGAAACTCCTAAGTACATTACTCTTCCAGAGTCACTGTTTTCTTCTGAGAAAATATTGACCATAAATTCTCAGTATTATGAAAACATCTTAATGAATACCCAGAATTTTCTGGCCATTTAAAATATACACTTTTTTTTTTTTTTACAAGATTTTATTTTTACAAACTGAAAACTTGTTATCTGAAATTAGCTCATTTACAAGCTGAGAGCTGTTATCATCCTTGGATCATTGACGTACCAAGAGCTGTTGTCATCCTCGGATCATTGACGTACGAAGAGCTGTTATCATCCTTGGATCATTGACGTACCAAGAGCTGTTATCATCCTCGGATCATTGACGTACCAAGAGCTGTTGTCATCCTTGGATCATTGACGTACCAAGAACTGTTGTCATCCTCGGATCATTGACGTACCAAGAGCTGTTATCATCCTTGGATCATTGACGTACCAAGAGCTGTTGTCATCCTCGGATCATTGACGTACCAAGAGCTGTTATCATCCTTGGATCATTGACGTACCAAGAGCTGTTATCATCCTTGGATCATTGACGTACCAAGAGCTGTTATCATCCTCGGATCATTGACGTACCAAGAGCTGTTATCATCCTCGGATCACTAACACACCAAGAGCTGTTATCATCCTCGGATCACTAACATACCAAGAGCTGTTATCATCCTCGGATCATTGACATACCAAGAGCTGTTATCATCCATGGATCATTGACGGACCAAGAGCTGTTATCATCCTTGGATCATTGACATACCAAGAGCTGTTTTCATCCTTGGATCATTGACGTACCAAGAGCTGCTATCATCCTCGGATCATTGACGTACCAAGAGCTGTTATCATCCTCGGATCACTAACATACCAAGAGCTGTTATCATCCTCGGATCACTAACATACCAAGAGCTGTTATCATCCTCGGATCACTAACATACCAAGAGCTGTTATCATCCTCGGATCACTAACATACCAAGAGCTGTTATCATCCTCGGATCACTAACATTCCAAGAGCTGTTATCATCCTTGGATCATTGACGTACCAAGAGCTGTTATCATCCTCGGATCATTGACGTACCAAGAGCTGTTGTCATCCTCGGATCATTGACGTACCAAGAGCTGTTATCATCCTTGGATCATTGACGTACCAAGAGCTGTTGTCATCCTCGGATCATTGACGTACCAAGAGCTGTTATCATCCTTGGATCATTGACGTACCAAGAGCTGTTATCATCCTTGGATCATTGACGTACCAAGAGCTGTTATCATCCTCGGATCATTGACGTACCAAGAGCTGTTATCATCCTCGGATCACTAACACACCAAGAGCTGTTATCATCCTCGGATCACTAACATACCAAGAGCTGTTATCATCCTCGGATCATTGACATACCAAGAGCTGTTATCATCCTTGGATCATTGACGGACCAAGAGCTGTTATCATCCTTGGATCATTGACATACCAAGAGCTGTTTTCATCCTTGGATCATTGACGTACCAAGAGCTGTTATCATCCTCGGATCACTAACATACCAAGAGCTGTTATCATCCTCGGATCACTAACATACCAAGAGCTGTTATCATCCTCGGATCACTAACATACCAAGAGCTGTTATCATCCTCGGATCACTAACATACCAAGAGCTGTTATCATCATCGGATCACTAACATTCCAAGAGCTGTTATCATCCTTGGATCATTGACGTACCAAGAGCTGCTATCATCCACGGATCATTGACGTACCAAGAGCTGTTATCATCCTCGGATCACTAACATACCAAGAGCTGTTATCATCCTCGGATCACTAACTTACCAAGAGCTGTTATCATCCTCGGATCACTAACATTCCAAGAGCTGTTATCATCCTTGGATCATTGACGTACCAAGAGCTGTTATCATCCTTGGATCATTGACGTACCAAGAGCTGTTATCATCCTCGGATCACTAACATACCAAGAGCTGTTATCATCCTCGGATCACTAACATACCAAGAGCTGTTATCATCCTCGAATCACTAACATTCCAAGAGCTGTTATCATCCTTGGATCATTGACATACCAAGAGCTGTTATCATCCTCGGATCACTAACATACCAAGAGCTGTTATCATCCTATGATCACTAACATACCAAGAGCTGTTATCATCCTCGGATCACTAACATACCAAGAGCTGTTATCATCCTCGGATCACTAACATACCAAGAGCTGTTGTCATCCTCGGATCACTAACATACCAAGAGCTGTTATCATCTTCGGATCACTAGCATACCAAGAGCCGTTATCATCTTCGAATCACTAACATACCAAGAGCTGTTATCATCCTCGGATCACTAACATACCAAGAGCTATTATCATCCTCGGATCACTAACATACCAAGAGCTGTTATCATCCTCGGATCACTAACATACCAAGAGCTGTTGTCATCCTCGGATCACTAACATACCAAGTGCTGTTATCATCTTCGGATCACTAGCATACCAAGAGCTGTTATCATCCTCGGATCACTAACATACCAAGAGCTGTTATCATCCTCGGATCACTAACATACCAAGAGCTATTATCATCCTCTGATCACTAACATACCAAGAGCTGTTGTCATCCTCGGATCACTAACATACCAAGAGCTGTTTTCATCCTCGGATCACTAACATACCAAGAGCTGTTGTCATCCTCGGATCACAAACATACCAAGAGCTGTTATCATCCTCGGATCACTAACATACCAAGAGCTGTTATCATCCTCGGATCACTAACACACCAAGAGCTGTTATCATCCTCGGATTACTAACACACCAAGAGCTGTTATCATCCTCGGATCACTAACATACCAAGAGCAGTTATCATCCTCGGAGATAACATACCAAGAGCTGTTGTCATCCTCGGATCACTAACATACCAAGAGCTGTTATCATCCTCAGATCACTAGCACACAAAGAGCTGTTATCATCCTCGGATCACTAACACACCAAGAGCTGTTATCATCCTCGGATCACTAACATACCAAGAGCTGTTATCATCCTCGGATCACTAACATACCAAGAGCTGTTATCATCCTCGGATCACTAACATACCACTAGCTGTTGTCATCCTCGGATCACTAACATACCAAGAGCTGTTATCATCCTCGGATCACTAACATACCAAGAGCTGTTATCATCCTCGGATCACTAACATACCAAGAGCTGTTGTCATCCTCGGATCACTAACATACCAAGAGCTGTTTTCATCCTCGGATCACTAACATACCAAGAGCTGTTGTCATCCTTGGATCACTAACATACCAAGAGCTGTTGTCATCCTCGGATCACTAACATACAAAGAGCTGTTGTCATCCTCGGACCACTAACATACCAAGAGCTGTTATCATCCTCGGATCACTAACATACCAAGAGCTGTTGTCATCCTCGGATCGCTAACATACCAAGAGCTGTTGTCATCCTCTGATCACTAGCATACCAAGAGCTGTTGTCATCCTCGTATCACTAACATACCAAGAGCTGTTATCATCCTCGGATCACTAACATACCAAGAGCTGTTGTCATCCTCGGATCACTAACATACCAAGAGCTGTTATCATCCTCGGATCACTAACACACCAAGAGCTGTTATCATCCTCGGATCACTAACACACCAAGAGCTGTTATCATCTTCGGATCACTAACATACCAAGAGCTGTTGTCATCCTCTGATCACTAACATACCAAGAGATGTTATCGTTCTCGGATCACTAACACACCAAGAGCTGTTATCATCCTCGGATCACTAACATACCATGAGCTGTTATCATCCTCGGATCACTAACATACCAAGAGCTGTTATCATTCTCGGATCACTAACACACCAAGAGCTGTTATCATCCTCGGATCACTAACATACCAAGAGCTGTTATCATCCTCGGATCACTAACACACCAAGAGCTGTTATCATCCTCGGATCACTAACACACCAAGAGCTGTTATCATCCTCGGATCACTAACATACCAAGAGATGTTATCATCCTCGGATCACTGACACACCAAG